GAGGAATTACTAATTAAGGGAGAGCAAACAGGCCAGATCATGACACTTCCAATCAGAATATAAATGTTTTTTAACAAAAATCATTCCGCTCCAATTAAAAAACTTGTCTATACCAGTAAAACTCAACTAAACGAGGCTACTATGCATAAAGAAGAAAAAGCATGGGTGAAAACCATAATCAGTGAGATGATGCAATGCGATCACAGTTTAGCATGGATTTTATGTTTCAGAATCAAAGGTCACTGTACAAAATGTGTTACTCTTGAAGGCAAACAGAAACTGAAATATTACAACAAAAGACTGCAGATCTAGTTGGTGGTGTGTACAGACATTATTCAGATTTTTTTTTTCTTGGAAATTTGATATCACTACAACTTTTAGTAAAATTACATGACTTAAGGCAAATAGTATGTGTGCTGTTGTGTAGATTAAACTACAATTGGAAAATATTGCTGTAGCATCTAAACAAAACACGTAACCAACTCGTAGCAAAGGACATGTACAATTAGCACGAATCTGTAGGTTCTGTCCAGATATTTTCACCACTACTTGATCTTGATGATTCTAGTTTTAGTTCAGTATTATGAGGGTGATGGTGATGAAATTGGCTGCAAAGAAAAAGTGGAGGACCTTGGACGAATCCTTTCATGAGAGTCTATAAAACAATAAGTAGAAAAGCTGAACATTTATTAAGCACACTGTTACATTTTTAAGAGAGTTTTTTTTATTTTTCCACCTATAATCAGAAGATAAAAAAATAATATGCCAGTGATGTGCCAGTTATATTCTTCTGGCATCAACATTAAAATGAAAATACTGACCAGACTTAATTCACTGTAGTTGATAGGTGGACAAATCCCTCGCCAACTATTGGTTGGCAGAATCACAGCACTATATTTGTTAATGTTTTAAATTATATATTATTTTAAATCAACCAAATTTGTTGTTATTACATTTAAATTTAGACATACTGTGGCTATCTGTGCAGTCTTACCATAACTAAGTGTAAATAATCTGTTCACTCCCTTTGATATGAAAATCGGATCAGTAATCATCTATTTAATTGTTTCTTTCCTAGACAGAGGCACCTATGGAGCTAGTTTTCTGTTACCTTTTCTAACATAGAAAGTATTTATAGATCAGTGCTACTATGTTCGGTATGTGTGTTTGCTTCTGTTTTCTTGAACCCTCAGCAGATGGCCGCTCACACTGAGCCTGGTTCTAGTGGAGGTTTCTTCCTGTTAAAAGGGAGTTTTCCTCTCCTCTGTCGCTGCATGCATGCTGGATGTGAGGGTGTCAGGACTCCTGTCTGTGTTTGTCTCCCTTCCTCCACCAGGAGGCGCCTGGTTCTGGTCCGCCTCCTCACACACCTGCTGATGGTTTCCTTGTTAACGGAGTGTTCTTAAGCTGCTGACTGCCACTACTGTACCTCGATGTCAAAGTGTTTTCCAGTTTTGGGTACTCTACCCAAGCTGAGTTTTGCTGAGTCAAACTGAGTTCTAGTCAACCTGAGTTTTAACTTTGCTTTTTGTCTTTGCCTCTCGGCAGGAAGTCATCCTGCAAACGGGATTTTTCGGCCCTTCTCTCCCTGGAAGGATCAATTGAGCTACAAACTGAGCTGGAGTTCAAACAGGAGGTTTGGATCAACTTTCCCCAAGAGATTGTTTGAGCTTCACACTGAGAAAGGGATTTATCTACACTACAACCAGTTCAAGTACCGCAGGAAATCTGAGTGGCAGTCAGTTTCTCCGTTCACCAACTATCAACCGCCTTCTGGGTAAACCCTGTTCCGCCCTCCACCGAATCAGACAAACACTGGAACTACAGCATACAGACTGGAGTCAAGGATTCAACAACTTCTTTGGAATCATGAGTCAGCAGCCAAATCCTCCTCTCCAAGTTCACTAGTCAAATTTCCCACTGAGCCTGAACTAACCGCTGTGTCTTCCCCTCACTTTTCATTTCCGGTTGCAGAGTGTTCAGAGCAAGACTTCTCTCTGCATTATCTCTTCAATAAAACCTGTTAAACCTTTTCCCTGGTCTCCCTGTTTGACAGAGGGAATGCTGTAGAGTCAATGAAACAACCAAATGTCTACTGTCACTACATGTCCATCCAGTTGAAATGAATCCTGCAAGTCAATGACTCAAAGTCATCTGGCTTTCTTTATATAAACTTCTAACTAATCTTTTTCTATGCTTTTATTGAATGATTCTATAAAGTACCTTGAGAGAACATGTATTGTGAATTGGTGTTATACACTGTCAATAAAATGAATTTAGGTCGATATAACCGAACTGACCATCCTGGGGTCAGTAAACTGTGTCTACGTGCAGTTGGCATAGCTGTTTGGAAAATTGCTCTCTCATTAAGTCTGAAATTCCCCAGACTTTATTGCATTTTACTGTTTCAGATGAGTAACTGAAATGCATACCAAGCTTCACAGTTAATTGCTGTAAAGCAAACCCAACTTTCATTTATTGAAGCTGCATTTAAAAACCTGTATGATTCAAATTAGCAGAGTTTAGTGATTGCTGGAAGTCATTTGCTTTTTGTTATGTTCCTTTTTTTCCAATGGCGCTAAAGGACTTTGCATTGTAAAATGAATCCTGCACTTCAACATTCTGCATGCTTTAATCTATAAAACAACACTGTATTTTTTTTTGTGAGGGATTGCATTCGGGTCAATGAGTCGATGCAATCAACTGTTTTTCCTTAGATAGAAAACTTTGAATCAGTTTGACTGTAGATGCCTTGAGATGACATGTGTTGTGAATTGATGCTATATAAATAAACTGAATTGAATTATTTGTTTAACAGGTTGATGTAGCGTAGTGCGTGTTAGTTTTAAAACCCTGTTTTGATGATCAGGAATCTTTCTAAACTGACTAAAGTGTCCTTCAATAAGCTGATTGAAACTACATGAGAGAGGACAGACGAAGGGAAAAGTTAATCACTCTTTGGCAGCTTAAAGTAGGCTACTGTAGAAACAGAAAATGTATGATAGGAAATCTAAGCAGCTTTGAATCAATCCCCTTTAAAGCTACAGTGTAATAATTACAGGGATATACAGTTAGAAATGTAATATATTATACATAACTATGTTATTTATCATCATCTACGAGCTCAGCCTCTTAACCTTAATATTTGCGTTGCCTTAGAATTCGTTATTTATAATTACATAGGAGCGGGTCTCGCAGCCATGGAGGCAGACATCTTTGCGCTACGGCAGCGCAAGTTGAGAGAGATGAACTGAAACGGTACTGAAATCTATACCCTACACAGACTAATGAAATACTATCTGTAAAATTATCTATGTAAACAAACCTCATCACTTGAGAAGGTAGGCGATGCGGACGTCGTGGAAGACATTTTGTCCCGTAACGCTCGCCGTACTGTTGGGTTGGAGAAGCAGTGGGGGGGAGATGTTCATGTCGCTGCGGTCTGCAGTCTGGACGTGGAATTACACACTGTAGCTTTAAAGAACTTGGTAAACCTTAAAAACGGATTAATGCCAGTTTATCTACCCGCTTCCATTGCTCTACAGCAGATGCCATCTGCTCTGCAATGCACCCAAGCTTGAAGCACATGGAAGAAACAAAAACATTCAGTACCATGCAATCATCCTACAGCAAACAACCCAGCCAAAGCCCTGGGTTTAGGCTGAGACTTAGTCATCTTTTATTGTCATTTTGTATACAAACAGTGTATACAAAACGAAATTTTGTTCCTCCAGTGTTATACTTCACAGCACTGGGTACCCATAAGACTGTACACTTCATACACATTCGTTCACACTGACGACTCATATCTGCTGTACCAAGTAAACAGAAAATGAGAGGAGATCACTTGCTGGGACCACTTAAAAGACATGCAAGCTGATCCTGAATTTTAAAAAGACCAATGAGGCCATTAGACTTAGACAACTTTTATTGTCATTTTGTATACACAGAGTGTATGCAAAACAAAATTTTGTTTTGTGCAGCTGTCCTCACGTTTCCGTTTCTTAAAGTGCAGCAGTGATCAAATGTAAACAGTGTTGGAGAAAAAAACATGGTGCAAAAATCCATTGATATGGAAGTTCAGAGCATTAATATATATGGTGAAAATATGCAGTGTTTTGGTTTGGTGTTAACAGTGTGATAAAGAGTCTGTGACATGATTTAGAGTTTTCTCAACAGTTCAGCTGTTTGATGGCAGTGGGGAAGAAGCTGTTGCAGAATCTGCAGGACTTGCATCGAATGATGATCATTGATGATGTTATGGACTCGGGACACGCAGCACTGTGCACCCTACTTTCTTAGCAGGAAGCCTCCTCCAGTGTCATACCTCAAAGCACTGGGTACCCTTAAGACTGTACCCTTCATACACCTTGGTTGCCACTGACGACTCATATCTGCTGTACCAAGCAAACAGAAAATGAGAGATCACTTGCTGGGACCACTTAAAAGACATGCAAGCTGATCCTGATTGGTCTTTTAAAAAGACCAATGAGGCCATCTTTTTAGACTTAGACAGCTTTTAAATCACTAAAGTAAGTTGAGAAGGACCCATCACAACAAAGCTCAGGAAAAGAATAAGTCAAAATCTAAATTGATAGAAATGTATGGTTTTGAAATTTAAATGTAATGTCAGCATTTCACCGCTAGGTGGCAATATATATATTACTTTACAGACAGCAAAATTCAGGAATCTTTGCACATCTGGGTTCGACTTGTTTCACATCAGTGACTGTTAAATATCCAAAATTTCAAATTGTTCCATCAAATGAAATTAGATCAGTTGGATTAGAAAAAAAAATCTACATAAATCTGTGGGAAAAAAAAGCTTTGAGGTTTCTACTTCTACTTAAACAATGTAAATTGCTCAAATTGTGGCAGAGTTTAAAATACGCACAGGATGTCTGGCAAAACCTCTCGTCCAATGGGATCAGTTTTGCGCCTTGGAGATTGTGTGGCCAGTGTAGAGGTGGTCTTTTTATGACACAGCAGATGAGGGCTCCTGACTGCAGACCTGTGAGAGCCAGTGCCAGAGGGGCTGTGATTGGGACTATAGCGCAAACTGCAGGAACCACAGAGGCGCACAGAAGGAGCCTCTTTATTTGACTCAAACTGCGCATAAAGCGCTCTGATGTCTCTGCGCTCATGTCGAGACTTTCCCTGAAGGTCCCACTGCCGTGAACAAATGAGCCATCAGAGAACTCTGTCAGAGAAAGTTTCTGGAACCGGTGAAGTTATGTGGCTTTTATTCTTTCTCTCAGTGGCGTTTTCAGCCGCGCAGGACTCAGGCACGCAGGTCAGGAATGAGGACATCCCCGAGGGCGCATCCACCCTGGCTTTTGTTTTCGATGTTACCGGTTCCATGTACGACGACCTGGTCCAAGTCATCGAGGGAGCTTCCAAGATTTTGGAAACATCTCTGAGCCGACCGAAGAGACCGCTGTATAACTTCGCTCTGGTGCCCTTCCATGACCCAGGTAATGCAGATAACAGAGAACAGATGCGCGCTTAAATCTGTCCTGCTTCTTTATGTTTCAGACTTTTCTTACTCTGCAAATCTAATCGTCAGAGAAAAGGGTCTATTAAACGATTTTCAGTAGTCAGGGAAAAAAATAAAAATAAAAAATAAATATATATATATATATATTAATATATATATATATATATATATATATATATATATATATATATATATATATATATATATATATATATATATATATATATTAATATATATATATTAATATATATATATATATATATATATATATATATATATTAATATATATATTAATATATATATATATATATATATATATATATATATATATATATATATATATATATATATATATATATATATATATATATATATATATATATATATATATATATATATATATTCAAATAGTTTATATGGAAAAAAGGAAGTTTCAACAACAGTTCTCTGTAAAAAAAAAAATACATAAAATTTACTGATTTTAAAATTATATTTCAATTTAGTATGGGAAATAAGTCAGAATTCTGACTTTAATCTGTGAATTCTGAGAAAAAGACGGAATTCTGAGCAAAAAGTCAGAATTCTCAGAATAAAGTCAGAATTCTCAGAATAAAGTCAGAATTCTGAGATTAAAGTCAGAATTCTGAGACTAAAGTCAGAATTCTGAGATTAAAATCAGATTTCTGAGAAAAAAGTTAGAATTCTGAGAAAAAAAGTCGGAATTCTGAGAGAAAAGTCAGAATTCTGAGAAAAAAGTCAGAATTCTGACTTTTTTCCCCATGTTAAACTGAAATAAAATGTAAAAATCAGTTCACTTTTTTTTTTTCTTTTCAGTGGCCCTAATCCTCCTCTGTAAAGTTTGGGATAAAACAGAAATAGTTAAAATTTGTTCCATTTGACAGTTTCCTTTTTTTATGCAACTAACCAAAAGTTTTTTACACTGAAAATCCCAAAGCATCATTTTCTTTTCTCTTGCCTTGACCATACAAAAGGAAAAAAGTTTGTGTTTCATTAAAAAAAAAAAAAATCTTTCACTTGTATTACTAGTTGTGGTTTACAGACTAGTTATAAATATTCCAAAACAAACAATAAATGTCCTTAATTATTTAATATAGGCTCATCCAGTTCACATATCATATCTGTCATTCATATTAAAAATGCCACAACTCATAATAAAAAAGATTAAACAACTGACCTAAAACCTCCCTATTATTTTTCATGACTCATCAAACATGCAGATGACAAAACCCAACAAAGTAAATAGAATTTTATAATACTCAAAATATTTTAGAATTTGGAGCTTGATAAAAAGAACAGATTATTTGTCCTTAATATTTGATATTTTTATATTTTTACTGGTGACTGAAGTGTTATTTGTAGTTCAAACAAAAAAGGCCAGAAATGTGGAAGATGAAGTATTTTTTTGTTGTTGCAGTCAGTCTTTTAAATCTGTGAATGTTCCTCACACCTCGTGTTTAGCAGGTAATCTGGTGGATCTAGTCTCAGTGTGCAGATGTTAGGGCTGACAGCCTCTTTCATTAGCATTCCATCAGGGGTGAGTGCCAGGCTCTTGGTTTTGTAACGCAGCTTGATGATTGTCATCACCTTCAGAGCGCTCTGTCATTCTGGACGCTAATGTCTAGACAATATATCACTGCGTCATTTAACGTCAACAAAGACCCCCAGGTCAGAACTGGCCGTCAGTTAGAAGAACATTCATTGCAACAAATTCTGTGGTTAAGTTTAATTTTATTGGAAGTTTTTCAATTTTCTAAAGAAAATACCTGGAAAAGAAAGAAAATACCTGGAAAAAACTGCATAATAAATAATTGTGTATATTAATCTAAACAAGAATGGTTGTTGAAGACCTCTTCTTGGTTTAAAAACAGTCAGTTTGTACCTATTACAACTGGCCTGTAGATTTAATCGGTGACACCTTGGATTTTTGGTGTAACTCTGATGTATTTCTTTATGTATTTATGTATATAGGAGTTATTTGCATAGCTCATACCCTTTAAAACTTTTTTTTTTGTTATAATCAAAAACTCTTAATATTTTATTAGGAATTTACACAGGAATATACACAAAATATGTCCTAAGCATGAAGGGGAAGGAAAAGGATACAACTTTCCACATGTTTTGGTTTCATAAATCTAATTTATAAAATCTGTTTTGGATAGCAACGCCGCAACTAAAATCCAGATCAAACAATTGCCAGCCTGTGTGTAAGCTAATACCAATATGCAGATCTTCCATTAAGTCCTCAGAGGTTTGTAAGGAAACATTGAATAAGACCAGGGAACACGACAGAACTAAAGGTGATGAGACATTTATTAGTTGCACACTTTAAGAAGGAGAATGAGAAAAGGAGTAAAAATACGTCTCATTAAATACAAACCTCATAGGGAACACAGGAGACATGTTGGAGAGGGTGCTGTTGCCAAACGAGAACAAAATGTGATGCTTCGACTTGCATACTGAAACATATTTGGTTGCAAACTTACATCATGCATCATCCTGGACATAGCAGGCCCCAAAAGGTAACCAGGAAACATGATGGTGGTGGTACCATAATATGGAAAGCCTTTCTTCAGCAGTGACGGGAAAGCTATTATGAATTAATGGGAAGATGAAGGGAGCTAAATACAAGACAGTGCTGAAAAAAAAGATAATATTGGAGTTTGGAAAGACTTAAAGCAATAGTACACCCAAAACATGATTAGCCTTCATTTTCTACTCACCCCCATGCTGAACAACACTCTGGAGTACTTTTTTGATATCTCAAATGCATCTGGAGATCTGGGAGGCTTCTTGCTGTCTGCTGACATTCAAATAATGGAGGTCTATGGCGCCCGAGGCAGAAAGGTCCATAAAAGTCCACAAAAAACGTGTCAATATTCCTCCATACTGCTCGTCCAATGTATTCCAAGTGTCCTGAGTGGGTAGCATCCAGAATTTACTCGAAACGAAGTCATTTAGAATGTTTTTAGAGCATAAACAGTAGTGTATAGGATTTCCTAAAAGCGCGTTCACGAGTCTACGGAAACCGCGGCAGACCAAACCAGATGAAAGTGCGCACTCAGCGTCTGCTCTGCCGATAATGCAAGCGTAGAAGAAGAAATGTGCTGTTTACCTGTGCAAAGAAAGAAACAACGAAAGAAAAATGTCTGAGGACTTCAGTGTTGAGGAAGAGCATGAGTTCTTTGCCGAGCTGAATGCGCACTTTCGTCTGGTTTGGTCTGCTGCGGTTTCCGTAGACTCGTGAACGCGCTATTAGGAAATCCTATACACTACTGTTTATGCTCTAAAAACATTCTAAATGACTTCGTTTCGAGTAAATTCTGGATGCTACCCACTCAGGACACTTGGAATACATTGGATGAGCAGTATGGAGGAATATTGACACGTTTTTTGTGGACTTTTATGGACCTTTCTGCCTCGGGCGCCATATGTCTTAGATATATAAACAGAAATGGGAAAAATGAGGCTAATTAATTTAGTGCTGTGTGTGACTTTGTTAGGATTGTACAAACCTGAATTGTTTCTGTCTCTGGAAGCTATAAGATTATCTTCTCACAATAAGTTCCAGCAACCTGAGCTTGAGCTTTTTAAACTTTACAGCTGTGTGTTTGTCCTTCACTAACAAGTGACGTTTGTTTGCTTCTGAAGATGGTTGAGGATGTCAAAGGGAACCCCCCAGGGAGTTTAGGAATGATTAGCTGAGCAGGGGTAGCTAAACATTTTTCCAAATGTTGTTTTGACCCCGGATCTCGGCCTTCCCCTCAGTCCCTTTCCATCGTCCCAGATCCTCAGAAAAACTCTGTTTTGTTTTCATTATTAATGCCACAGATCTCTTTTATATCCGTTTCCTCCAGCTCAGTGTGATAACACAGTCTCTGCTGTTTGAACTGGCTGCTTATAAAATCAGAACTTCTTTTATGTACGCTGCAGTCGGATGTGTTTTTTTAAGTTTCTATGAGCGTCTGTATGAAGCAAAAGTGTGAGGATGACGCCTGGATATTGGGGTCAGGCCTGTAAGGGAAGATAATCAGGAAGTTTCCCCTCAACCCACCATCCTGCAGGAAGAAAAAGGAAAGAATAGGAATAGGATTGCTTCAAATTATTGTTTACTAACACACAGGCCTGCAGCACTGCAGAAATATTAATACAACAGTAACCTAATAAACCTTTTTTTTTTCATTGATATATTAAATGATGATGCAATATTGTCAGTTATTAGGTCTAAAAAGCTGCTGTTAATGGAACCTACATTGTGGATACAGTCATATTGAGTTAATATTATTTTAGTACCTCAGTTAACTAAGCAAAGTGTCATGATTATATTAAGGTCTGACCCCAAGATGCAGAAGACCAAACAAAGAGACCAGGGAAAAGTCTAAACAGGTTTATTTTAGGAATAATGTGATGAAACCAGTTCTGCTCAGAGTAGAATGATATGAGTCCAGTGCTGCTCTGAGCACTGCTCAACAGGGACTGAAAGGTGAGGGGAAGACACTGCGGTTAGTTCAGGCTCAGTGGGAAATTTGAATCTTAGGTTTACAATTGGAGGAAAAGGTTGCAGACTCACTTCTCCAGGGAAAGATGTCCTTTATGGAATCCAAACTGAGAGGATTGTACCAGAGATTGTCTTGCTTGGTGATGGGTGGACTGGGTTACTCAGACTGCGGTTGTTCCTTGGTGAATGGAGAAGCTTACTGTCACTCAGATTTCCTGCAGTACTAGAACGGGCTGAAGTGCAGAAGAAACCTTTGCATGGTGTGAAGCTCAAACAACCTCTTGGGGAAAGTTGATCCAAACTTCCTGTTTGGAGTGAACGGAGAAGCTGACTGCCACTCTGATTTCCTGCGGTACTTGAACGGGCTGCGGTGCAGATGAAACCTTTGCTTGGTGTGAAGCTCAAACGACCTCTTTGGGAAAGTGGATCCAAACTTCCCGTTTTGAACCCCAGCTCAGTTA